CCCAGAGGAGCCAGCTGCAGAAAGGGGGAGGGGGGGAGGCTTTTGTGGAGGGGGAGGGTTGCCTGAACAAATCCACCCAGCCCTTCCCTCCTTGTTGAGCTGGGTGCTTGGGGCTGGCCCTTCCCTCTGCTCCCCTGAACACCATAGGGCAGAGCAGGGAGCTCCGGGATATAACCCTTCTGTGGATCCCAAGGGAATTAGGAGCCAAACCCGCATGGGCTCCTTTGAAATTCCAGCTTGTGCGCGCTAGCACCTTCCATCCAGAAAGACTTTCCCAATACTTCGTACAGAGGCAGCCACTTCTGGGGCAGCACTCTGCGGCTGTGGAGCAGCCCGCCAACACGGCGCAGCAGTTGGTGGCAGGAACTTGGCGAGGGCAGCGCAAGATTCACCCTTTGCAGCCAGGTTAATTCCCCCCCCCCGTGTGGTTTCAGAGCGGGGGAAGGTATTTTGTAGCACGCCAAGGTCCACTCTTAAAAATTGGATTCCCCGAGCTGTGTCACTCAGGAACGTGGAAAAGGTTCGGCCCTGTGTGATGCCGTTCGGCCAACCTAAACCGCTGTGTAGATGCGGCTAGATTGGTGGAACGATCAAGCGATTGGCTCTCAGAGAGATGGATTAACCACACATCAACACAAAACCCCCGTCCCTGGGGGCAGGAAGCATTTACGCTACAGAGCACAGCCCAAGCCCAGGAAAGATAGAGCACCGCGCCAAGGCACACGGAAAAGGGTAGAGATGAAACTCACTTCTGACTTGGGGCAGTCAGGCACAGTACAGTGCAGGGCCACTTCCCCTGGTAAAGCATTTTTCAGACATGGCCTGCCCCCCAAAATGCATAACATGGTTAAACATGCACAGTTACACCAAGACAGATGACGGGGGAGAGCGGAACTGAGGCATAAGTAAGGGAGAAAAAGAACTTCAAGTGGAGATTTAAAATGAGATGGAGAATCACAAGTAAGCTATCTGGGGAGATGTTTGCAGGGCAAGCACTGAAGGGGGAGGGAGGGAGAGAGAGAAGGGGACAAATTCAGAGTAACTCCACTGAAAACCGCTGAGGCTGCGTTGCTAAGTAACTCCCCTCACAGTCACAGAGTGGATCCATAGCAGAACTAGAAATAGGGCCCAGGGCCACATGCTGGGGGTAGGCCTAAAAAAGATGTTAGTGTCAGAGATTCTCAGGCAAAATTCCGAGGTAGACATGGATAAATTACAGTCATTTTGTGGCTGGGCCTTGCCGCCTGGCTACAGCAAATGTGATCAGTTTATGGATAAAGTCTTTAGTGGATTAAGCCTTCGATTTGTATTGGTATTTCTAAAGGCAGAACTCCGTCTTTAAAAGAATTCATCATCTACGTATGCTGTGACTTACCTGGATCTATTTCAGAAGTGTGGGCACTCGAACACTCGGCGTATGCAAAAGCCCTTATTAAATAGCCATGGAGTCAAGACACTGAAGATAAATTCAGTTTGGCACCTTTCAATGTCCGGCACCAGCGAGGAGATTTCCCGGTACCAACAGAAGAGCAATTAATTAATTATCGCATGAGGGCGATTGATCACCTTGGCTCCATCTTTCCAGTGAATATTGGATCACCCTTTCCATACTACATTATTCACGCATGCCTCAAAGCATTCCACAGATTTCTGGTGATTTGGTTCAGAGTCCCAGCTTGCAGCCAGAGAACATAATGATCCATTAGCAATATCTTACTAATTTTACAAAGAGATCATCTAAAATACATTAGACATAAGATGCTCAGCTGGTGTTGACTAGCTGAAGTCAATGGATCTATGCTGATTTGCATCACTTGAGGATCTGGCTAATTGTATTTTACTTAGGGGCATACATATAATTTAAGAATGAGAGTTGTATATTAGCATTGATTTGTTCATACTGTCATATGGCACTATTTTAAATACTACAGCCTTGGAATCAGACCCATGCATGCAGAAACCTGAACCTGTAGGGCCTCCCAACTGACAATAAATGTGCATCAAGTTACTCATGTCTGCAAGTTTTTGCAGGATTGAACCTTAATTTTTTTTCTTTCATATAATGCAATCAGACCTCAACTTCTTTTTCTCTGTTACAACACAGTCCTTTACAGATACACCAATCACAGCCTTATATCTCTTAGTTTATCCCTGCATCACCTCACAAACCAAAGCCGAACTATAACAGTAACCCCCAAATAAAACTCTATTACATTTGGCAGAGGAGTTGAATGACTCCAAATCCCCTAGTGAATAAGACAGTATTGACTTAAGCTGTCAGGGATAAGGGCTTTGCTCACTGTAATAATGGGAAAGAAAGATAGCTGCTAAGAGGCTAATATAATACCAATAGGTGGGACCAAACTCGGGACCTCTGGAGCGTAGGACATGAGCCTCTACAGGTAGTATTATAAAGCCAATTGGCTCACAGCAAACTCTTTCTCTCTCTCTCTCTCTCTCTGTATGCACATCTACACTATGGGATACGGTCGAACTAGGATACGCAATTTCAGCTACATTAATTGCGGAGATGAAGTCAAAGTGCCTTAACTAAACTTTTAGCATTGTGCATACTGCAGGAAGTTGAAGGGAGAACATTCTCCCTTTGACTTCCCTTACTCCTCGTGGAAGCAGGACTAAGCGGCATCGATTGTAGCGCCCCTCTTGGATCGAATTCGCTGTCTTTACTAGCCCTACTAATTCAAACCCTGGAAGACTGACAGTGGCAGCTTCGATCTTCTCTGTAGTGTACACGTACCTAAAGTAGTCTAAGAATCACTATATGGGACAGTGAAGCACACCAATAGATGTGTGGGTTACACTAGGCGTATAGAGTCCACATTTCCACTGAAGGAGATGCAGCAATGACCCGTCAGGATCTGCAGCGCTCCCCCTGCCAGTAAGTCAAGGAGTAGGGGAAAACAAAAGTTGTCTACACGTAGACATTGTCCCGTGACGGGGTGGTGGGGACCGCCGAGGCTAGCCCCATGCCCCACACTCGGGCACCGGACGGCCCGGGTGCCATGCGACCCGAACGGCTTTGCCGTGCCTGTTCGGGGGCAGCCGCCGGTGCAGGAGGCTCCCCGGCAGGTGCGCCGGGGGAGAGGCACAGGGGCCAGAGAATGCATGCACCGGCATACCCGGAAAGGGGCGCCGACTTCAAAAGGCAGCTCCCAGCCAGGAGCAAGGAGACCGAGACCATGACCGGGACCGGGCGGCCGAGGGAGGTAGCCGCCCCGGACCAGCCGGAACCAGACCGGACCTGATGGAGCAACAGAGATGGCGGCGAGGGATTGGCTCACCAGGACGGGGTGAGGATAACTGCTGGACCGGGCAGGGACGACCGGTGGCTGGCTGGAGAGGAGGAAGCAGCCCAGGACGGGACCAAGGAGGACCCGGGGACCTGTGAGTTGTGGCAGTAGCCTCTCCCCGCCCCTCCCCCCCCCCCCCCCGGTTGAGCAGGACGTCAGAGACGCCTGTTCTTAGGGTCCTGGGCTGGGACCTGGAGAGAGGGAGGGCCCAGGTCCCTCTCCACTCTCGGATGGCGCCGGACCGGCAACACAGGCTTTTACTGCGGGAAGGACTCGGTGGCCCCCGGAAGGGAGGACCCAGACAGGAGAGCTAAACCCCGAGCAGGGAGGGATGCTTGACATCCCCCTGTAACTATAGTGCCTTGGTTAAAGTGATAAACTGGCCACAAATATACCACTGTAAATGTGCTTATGCCACAAGACCTTATTCCCACATGGAAAGCAGTGTTCCCTGTGAGCTGTGCACTTGGGCAGCCATCCAGGAGCGATTCAAATGCCGCCCAGCTGATGAGCAGTGTCCAGAGCCGCCCACAGCTCCCAGCCTGTGTTCCTCCTGGTGGTGCACATCAGCACAGAGATGGGAAAAATTAGAGGGAACATCGATGGGAAGATAAAGAAGATATGCTGGTATAAGGTCTTGTGACAGGGCCTCATCCTATTCCTGTCTGCAGGGGAACCACTCAAAGACCTTCAACTGGCCCAACACTTGGTGCAATTTACAGTGCTCTCCACACCATCCTTCCAGACTCGTGCAGCTCTGTATTCACAATAGCTCCTGTTCCTTAGCGCCGCTCTGCCAAGGTGGTGGGGAGACGGAAGGTTTCTTCCTCCTGAGAGACTTCTCCTGGCTGTGACTCTGAAAAGCCTGCCATGCTCTCCAGCCTTCCCCAAAGCACTTCCTTACCGTGCCTTGCCACTTCCTGGGATAGTGGGTTAATTGACTACACAGTCCATGGACCGCCTGGCTCTCTCCAGTCCATCCCCAGCCAGGCCCGCCAACAGGTGGTGCATAGGGGGCAGCTGCCCCTGGACCCTGCAATTCAAAGGGGCTCAGGGCTCCTACTGGCTGCCCGGCTACTGGGGCAGCAGCCAGAACCCCAGGCCCTTTAAATTGTGCCACTCCTCACAGCACTGGGTGTTTGGGGGGAAGGGGACTAGCGCCATGGTCTGGGCAACACTGAGGTTCTGGCTGCTCCAGCTCCACCCCTTCCACTCATAGACTTTAAGGTCAGAAGGGACCATTATGATCATCTAGCCTGACCCCCTGCACAGTCAGGCCACAGAATCTCACCCACCCCCTCCTGGAATAATCCTCTCACCTATATCTAAGATATTGAAGTCCTCAAATGATGGTTTGAAGACCCCAAGAAGCAGAGAATCCTCCAGCAAGTGATCTGTGCCCCATGCTAAAGAGGAAGGCGAAAAACCTCCAGGGCCTCAGCCAATCTACCCTGGAGGAAAATTCCTTCCCGACCC